CGTAGAAAGCCTGGAGGCCCCGGTGTGGCTGCAGGGGGGGGCTCCTGCCCAGCACCTCCCGACGGAAGTTCTCCCTCGTCCAGCCATAGACCAAACTGTGCAGGAAGCCCTGGAGGGACACGGTCAGGGCCTGGGGGAGAGAGGGAGAGGGCAGGGCCAGTGCTGCCGTTCCCTGTCCCTGCAGACCCCCGGGGACCAGCCCAGGTCAGGTGACACAGGGACAGGTGACACGGGGACACGGGAGGTGTCTCTCCTCTTGATGTGGTTAATTAAACCACATCAAACCCCTGGGAAGAGCCAAAGGGTGAAACTCCAACCTCCAACCCGGTGGGAAGAGCCAGGCTGGGCCCAGGGCTGTGTCCTCACCCTGGGGTCAGCGGGGACCAGCCTGTCCCCAAGCCCTGTCACAGCCCCTGGCCCTGGGGGGCCCAGCACCACTGACACATTGGGGTGGGGACAAAAGCCCTGCTCGGGAGCCCTGGAAACGGGGTTTTACTCACTGCAGCAACATAGAGGACAAAGACCGAGGCAGGTTTGATGCCGGTGAAGGAGAGGAGGATGAGGAGGAAGGCTGTGGGTGGGAGACAAAAGGACACTTTTTGGTCGGACCCCACACACACACCGTGACCCTGCAGGGCTGTGGGGACCCTGGGACACCCCCACCCGGACTTGCCTGGCGTCCAGCAGAACAGGAAGACCAGCTGGAAGCAGCGGGAGGCTTTGCTGACGCTGCAGCTGCTCCCACCCCCGAAGCCCCCGTCCCTCTCCAGGGGCAGCAAAGGCACCGCGATGGTCCCGCGGCAGCGGAGCCTCACCCGGCGGTACAGGAGCTGGGGAAGGGTCCCGGGGGGTCAGCGGGGCTGTCCCGGCCCCCAGACCCAGCCCTGCCCCGCGCCCTCACCGTGCAGCAGCCGAGCACCAGCAGCAGGTACAGGAGGAAGATGATTTTCCCCGCCAGCCCCACGTCGTTCTCACCGATGTACTGGGAGGAAATGGGAACCCCGTGGGGCCGGGGCAGCCCTGCCTCGAGCTGTGCCGCGACCCCACGGCCTGGGAGCTGCCGGAGCTGCCCCTGTGCCTCTGTTGGGAGGGGGACACCCCTGTCCCGGCCTTCCGGCAGCGCCTGCATCCCCCGGAGCCCCCCGCCCCGGTGGGGTGGGTGGGCAGCTCGCAGGGGCAGGGAGGGACGGGCACCCAGCAGTGCTCACCTGGGAGCAGATGTCCTGAGCACTGTGGATGAGGAGCAGGCAGCTGGAAGGAAAAGGATGGAGGATGCTGCTGGTGGTCCCCAAATCCCCCACCCCGTCCCCAAATCCCCAAACCTAAATACCCCAACCACAAATCCCCCACTGCAACCCAAGTTACCCCAACCACAAATCCCCCACACCAACCAAAAATGTCCCAGTCCCCAATCCCCACCCCAAACCTAGTAATAATATAATGGCCAGTCTTCGCGAGCGAAGATCCGGGGAAGGTCTTTACACCTTCCAGCCTGCGCATTGGATTTTTTAGGTGAGACACAGTGCGCGCGGAACTGAGCCCACCCTTTAATCCTAAGGTTCATCTGCCGGGGCCAAGCGAGCTTGGACGGTGGCAGTGAGGTCCTTAGGACGTAGGTGGGTTGCCTTTAAGGGCTAACGAGCCCCACCTGCCCGGGAGTGGCCCTGACCGGGAATCGAACCCGGGTCTCCGCGGTGATAGCGCGGCGTCTTTACCACTAGACCACCAGGGGCCCAAACCTAGTACTCCAACCCCAAATCCCCCCGCAACCCAAAATACCCCAGCCCCAAATCCCCCAGCCCAACGCCTCCATCCCCGGCAGTGTCTCGTGGGGGACAGGGAGGGGGTGTCCCCCGGCCCCCCCGGGTCCGGACCTGGAGCAGTACAGCCCGAAGGTGTCGTGGGAGCCGTTCCGTTTCCAGGGCACCACGGGCACGATGTCAGTGCCAGAGGAGCCGCGGGCGAGGAGCTGCCCCAGGAGCGTCAGAGCCGGCACCAGCCTTGGGAGAGAGAGGAGGGATGTCCCGGGATGTCCTGGGATGTCCTGGGACAGCCCGGGGCGGGGGGGTCGAGAGGGGCACCTACCAGGCCAGGACGTAGGGGATTCCCTGCCACGCTCTCTCCAGGCACCGGCTCCGCTCCTGCGGGAGGATCCTGCCCTGAGCCGGGGCTGCAGGAGCGGCAGCAGCCGAGGATCCAGCCCCGCTTCCACAGGGATGAGGGGAACCCCCAATGCCCCAGGGAATGGGGCTGTTCTGGATCCCCCCGCTGCCCCCCCACGTCCTGGCAGGGCCGTGTGTGGGCAGAGCGATGCCCATGTCCTGACAGGGCAATGCCCAGGTCCTGGCAGGGCTGTGTGTGGGCAGAGCGATGCCCAGGTCCTGGCAGGGCTGTGTGTGGGCAGGGAGATGCCCAGGTCCTGGCAGAGCAATGCCCAGGTCCTGGCAGGGCTGTGTGTGGTCAGGGAGATGCCAAGGTCCTGGCAGGGCTGTGTGTGGTCAGGGAGATGCCCAGGTCCTGGCAGGGCTGTGTGTGGGCAGGGAGATGCCCAGGTCCTGGCAGGGTTGTGTGTGGGCAGGGAGATGCCCGGATCACGCGGGTGGGGTCACGGACCTGCAGCGCTGCCGGGGCCGGGCTCTGCCGCCAAGGACGGTGCGATAGGACTCGTAGGCGTAGACAACGACCATGAGGAACGAGACGGAGTAGAAGGTCTGGAGGAGGAGAGGGAGTCGGTCCTGCTGTGCACAGCGCCCCCAGGGCACCTTCCCCCTTCCCTCTGCACCCCGATGCCACACCAGCCCCTTCCCTCCCCGTGCCCTGCAGCCCAACCCCACACTATCCCTCCAGCCCCTTCCCTCCTCCTGCCCCCGCGGAAGGACCGGGTGGTCTCTCTGGCCTTTGGCCTCTCGGGGCCGGCAGCACTGACCACCCGGGCCCCCTGTCCGTCCATCCCAGCCCGCGGACGGGGCCCAGGGGGGTCCCGGCCCCCGGTGCCCCCTTACCGTGACCAGCATCCGCCCGTAGGGACAGGCGGCGTACGCGGGGACAGCGAGCGGCGCCGGCAGCAGCTGCAGCGTGGCCGTGCCCAGCAGGGCAGCGGCGGCCAGGAGATCTGCCAGGGCCAGCAGGGACAGGGGCCGCAGCTGGGGAGGGGGCACGGCATCAGCTCGGATGGCAGAGCCCCCCGAGCTCCCACAGCCCCTCCGCGGGCTGGCACCGGCTGCTCCCGGGGGGGCTGGAGCGAGTGCTGGACATCCTGCACCACCGGCTTTATCCCAGGGCTGGCCTGGCTTTGCCTCGGGGCCCTGTGCTCCTGGAAGCTGCTGGCACTCACCTGGATGTGGCAGCACTGCCGGTGGCACTTACCTGGATGTGGGAACACCGCTGGATGCTCAGGAGCCGGTGACACTCACCTGGATGTGGCAGCACCGCCCCTGACGGGAGGCGACAACGAGGATGGACCCGCTGCCCAGGAGGCTGCAAAAGACGGGGCTGGTGACAAATGTCCCGGCAGGGCTGGTGACAAATGCCACCAGCAGAGCTGCTGCCAAGCCCCAGTTCCAGCCCCGGCAGCGGGGCCAGGACCCACCTGAGCAGCGCGGCCGGGAGGGAGATTCCCATCAGCAGCAGGACCTGAGGGAGACACGCAGGGAGTGCGGGCTCGGGAGTCCCGGAGTGGGGCCACTCCGGCAGCCTCGGCGGCCCCACGGCTCGGGGGGTGTGGAGCCCCACGGCACGGCCAGACTCGCTCCCTCGGGCATCCCTGGACGACGCCGCTGCCCAAAACCACCGGGAAAGCTGTTTCCCAGGAGAGGCTGTGCCAGGGCTGAGGGGGCAGTGGAAGGTTCGAGGCCTTCTTCCCCGAGAAAGGCCAGCCCCTCGGCGGTGGCTGCACGGGGGGGTTTCCTGCTCCATCCTCCTGAGTTTTCTTCCTGAGATTCCCTCCACAGCATCCCGGCTTCCCTCGCCCGAGGCTGGGGAGCGCCAAGAAGCCGCGTCCCGCCCGGGGCCGCGCCGGGAGCGGTTCCCAGACGGCGCTGCTGGAGCTGCCGCCGAGGAACCGGAGCGACCGCCGGGGCCGGGTGGATGTCGGGGCTGAGTCACCGGGACAGCGGGGCAGGAGCCTGGGAAGAGCCGCTCCGGCCCAGGGCGAGCCCTGCCCGGGGAGCCGGGACCCCTTTGCCGGTCCCAGCGCGGCCGCAGCTCCGGCCTGGGGAGGGGACCCCCTCAGCCAGGGTTTGTTGGAATGGGATCTGAGCGCTCGGCAGCGGCATTCCCGGGTCTCCAGAGGGCTTCCCGCGCGCACGTGGATTTACCTGCGTATCCGAGAGAGCCCACGGCTGTTCCTCTGCGTTGGCCATGGCCGAGGAAGGGGACCCCGGAGCCTTCCCGGCTCCTCCTGCACTGGGCACAGCCCGGGATGGACCGGCAGGCTGGCACTGGAGCAGCTCCGCTGCCGCTGCCGCTGCAGTCCGGGCTCGCTCCACACCCTCTGTGGGCACCCGGACACGGCGCAGCAGGAGGAACCTGCCCAGCCGGGGCAGGAGGAGCTTCCCCCAGGCGCGGGAGGATCATCCCAGCCCTGGGAGCAGGGAGGGATCAGCACCTTGGCTGGGGAGCCCAGGAGAGCACTTGGACACCCCTCGGCACGTGGGGAGGGAGGGAACGGCACCGAGAGCTCCTTGTCCTGCTGGAGGAGTCCAGAGAGGCCCTGGAGCTGCTCCCAAGGCTGGATTGCTCTGCTCTGGAACCAGGCTGGGAGAGCTGGGGGGGTTCACCTGGAGAAGAGAAGGCTCCAGGGAGACCTGAGAGCCCCTGCCAGGGCCTAAAGGGGCTCCAGGAGAGCTGGAGAGGGACTGGGGACAAGGCCTGGAGGGACAGGACACAGGGAATGGCTTCCCAGTGCCAGAGGGCAGGGATAGATGGGAGATTGGGAAGGAATTGCTGGCTGGGAGGGTGGGAAGACCCTGGCCCAGGTTGGCCAGAGAAGCTGTGACTGCCCCTGGATCCCTGTAAAGTGTCCAAGGTCAGGCTGGATGGGGCTTGGAGCAACCTGGGCTGATGGAAGGTGTCCCTGCCCATGGCAGGGGTGGCACTGGATGGGCTTTAATGTCCCTTCCCACCCAAACCTTCCTGGGATTCTCAGTGCCAGACTCCTCTTCATCTTCTCCCCGGCACAGATCCAGCACTGAATGTGCAGGAGCGAAGCATTCCCATCCCCACACTCACAGGGACCTCGGGAAATGAAGGGATTTAGTAATTTGGTTACAGTCTTAAGCCCAAGGATGTTCTGATCTCCAAGCACTGCCCGGCCCATCACCAACAGCCACCAGAGTCCTGCCTCAAACAGGGATTTACCTTTATTTCAGGGATATTGGCTGAAGGAAGAGAGGGAAGAGGGAGGGAGGGAGGTGGGGGAAGGCCTGAGCAAGGGAGGGAGGAGGAGGGAGAGGGGCTGGAGGGAGCAGGGGGAGCACCAGGAGAGCTGACGAGGGTGACAGTAACACAGGTGACAGTCACTTTGGCAGCTCCTGGAGCTGCTCCCAGGCAGCTGCTTCCTTGTTTTCCTCCATCATCTACGGATGGATCAGTGGATCTGTGTGCTCCCAACTGGATCCCACCTTGCTCCCCTGCTCCCACCTGGGACCCCATGTTGATCCCCGTCCCCCAGATGATCCCACTTCATTTCTTCCCTCCCAGCTGGATCCCACATTGATCCCCACCACACCTGGGATCCATTCCAGGTCTCTTCATCCTCCAGGAGAGCACAAGGCAGAGGGAGAACAGGGATCATCCCCTCAGCCTGAGCAGCAAAGCTGAAGCAGGAGGCACCATCTCCCCCTGGTGCTGTGGGAATGGCTCCAGGGTGAGAGCTGGAGCCATCCCTGTTGTTCCAGAGGCACCACTTCATTCAGCCTTTCCAGACTGGGAGCAGGGTCCAGGCTCTTCCCTGGCTGAGCCAACACTTGCACCCTTGAGAAGCACTTCAAACACTCGTGGGACAAACTCTCCCTTTGCTCTCCAGTTCCCTCCACCCCAGCAGCACCCAGATCTCTCCCAGCAGGGACAGGTTCTGCCCAGGGCACATTTTCCCTGAGGACTCTTTTGAGGAGAAATTGGCACCAAGGGCTGAGTTAGTGGGAGTGGAATCCAGGGAATTTGGCTGCTGGCAGGACCAGGGCAGCCAAGGAGGCAAGGAAGGATGCTGCACCCCAGGGTCCCTGTCCCAGGATCCCTGTCCCAGGCCACTGGTGGGTCCCCTGGGATGGGCTGGGGACATGGGAGACGCCCAGTGTGTCCCCCTGGGGACACGGCAGCTCCCCTTTTCCCAGCCCAGGGACAGGGAACATCCAGGCCCTTCCCTGAGCTGTGAGGGGACACAGCACATCCCTCCTCCAGACTGATGCTCCTACAGCTCCCAGAGCTCCAACTCCAAGGGCAGGGCAGGATCCTGTTATGGGATTGGAGTTTGCTGTGCCAGCTGCCATGGAAATTAGGGAAGAACCTCCAGGCCTCTGCAGGCCCTGCCTGGAGCTGCCACCCCCTGCCCCTCCCTGCTCCATCCCAGCAGGAACAGGGCCTTCCTTCCAGGAACAGCACTGCACAGCAGCAAAACTTCCCTGGATCTCCCAGAAATGAGGAGCAGGGCACCCATTCCAGCCTTTCCTCTGCTTCCTGCTCCCAAACAGGGTCAGGCAGCTCCAATTCCTGCTCAGCCATGTGGCACCTTGGGGTGGGGAATCATCCCTGGCACCATCACAGGCTCCACTTCGACACCCAGGAGATGCTTTCTCCTTCTGGAATCACTGAGAATTCCAGAGAGGATCCCTGGGCAGGAAGGAGAGCACACCTGAGCTGTGGGATGGGCCTGGGGCTACATCCACCCTAAATTCCTTCTAGAGAAGAAACTCTGGGGAAAATGCTCAAGATTTTCTGCATTAAGCCTCATCCTCTTGAGCCTTTCATGGTCTGGTGCTATTTTAGCTCCACCTAAAGTGCTTCCCATCCTCCTTTTAATCTTCATAGTCACGAGCCCGGCTGGAGTTTGAAGATCCAAGTGAGTTCCACCCAAACCAAACCTGACAGGTCGGGATTATTTTAAAATCATCTCTAAAAAAGCATCAGGATCTTCAATTCCACGGGTTTTAAACCAAGCCCCAACTCAGAGCGAATTCCCACGCCAGGGTGGAAGAGCTGGCACAATTCCACCGCAAATTAGTGCCACAAACACCAGTTTGAGCCCAAACCTCGACCGGGAGCTCTGGGCGCGGTCGGGAGGAGGTTTTGCCACGAGTTTTGGTCAATCACTGGGGATGTTCCCACGGAAAAGGGAGTCAGAGCTGCCCCCTCATCTCTTCCCGTGGAGCCACCAGCCGCCCTGGGCCGAGCGCTGGGCGATGTTGTGCTTCTCCTCGGGGCTGAAGTGCAGGATGGTGAGGATGGCCGTGAGCGTCTGCTGCCGGCCCCGCGCGTCGGGCAGCGTCAGGAACCGGTACACGATGTTCTTCAGGTACTCCAGGTTGGCCCCTTCCCTGCTCCTGTCCCGGCAGTTCTTCTGGATCTCGCTCTGCAGGGCCGCCACCTCCTCGCGGTGCTTCTCCTCCTGGGCCAGGGCCGTCTCGCGGAGCTGGTGCAGCTGCGCCTCCAGGCCGTGCCGGTGCTTGCGCAGCGCCGCCACCTCCACCTCCTTGCGCGCCAGCTGCTCCGCGTACAGCAAGAAGGTGGGCTCGGAGCCCGAGGGCAGGGGGAGGCCCTGCGGGAGGGCCTCGCAGGAGTCGTGGCCGGGGGAGTCGCCGCGGGGGTCGCCGCGGGAGGCCTGGAGCGGGTGGGGCAGCGCCAGGGCCCGCAGGCGCTCCAGCTCCTGGTCCTTCTCGGCCAGCACGGCCAGCGCCCGGTCCCGCTGCTTGTGCATCTCCTCCTCCAGGCGCAGCGCCCGCTCCCGGTACTCCTGCCGGCACCTCTCCAGCTCCTGCCGGTGCAGCTGCTGCAGCTGGGACAGCTCCTGCTTCTTGGCCTCCGCCTCCTGCCGGTGCCGCCTCTCCACGTCGTCCGAGGCCAGCTGGAGCGCCACGTACTTCTCCTTGAGCTCCGCCAGCTGCTCCTGGGCCTCCTCCAGCTCCTTGGCCAGGTTGATGTCCTTGCTGGACTTGTTCTTGAGGACCAGCTGGGCCCTCACCTTGTAGCGCTCGAACTCCTCCTTCAGCTGCCTCAGCTCCTGCTGGTAGTACCCGGCCGTGGCCTTCTCGCCGTCCCCGGAGCCCCTGGGCAGCTCCGGCTCGCACGGCTCCTCCACGTCCACCTGGCTCTTCCCGGTGGCCGCCTGCAGGAGCTTCTTCAGCTTCTCCATCTTGTCCTTGAGGACGTTCACATCCAGGTTGGCCTCCTCGCCGTGGATGTCCCCCGGGGCCCGGCTGGAGGCGGCGATGGCCAAGGTCTTGTTCTCCAGGTCCAGCTGCACGATGCGGTCCTTGAGCTTCTGGATGACCTGCTGGTCCTTCTGCTTGGCCTTCTCGTAGGTGCCCAGCAGCTCGGACGCCTGGGACACCTGAGCCTCCAGGTCGGCCACGCGCCGCTCCTCCATCTGCGCGCGGTGCCGGAGCTGCTCCTCGGCCTGGGCGGTCTGGGGGCATGGAAGGGGCAGGGTCAGGGCAGCACGGGGGGCACAGGGAGCTCAGCCCTGCTCTGCCCCACCCCAAACCACAGTGGGGCCTCCCCTTTCCCCGGGAATCCTGCAGGAGACACCTCCCGGCCTCAGCTTTTTGCGGATTTGTGTAATTGGAATCATGGAATGGTTTGGGTGGGAAGGGACCCTCGAGATCCTCTGTTCCCACCCCCTGCCACTAGATCCACTACTCCCACCTATCTTCCACCAGACCAGGTTGCTCCACACCCCATCCAACCTGCTCTTGGACACTTCCAGGGATCCACAGGGGCAGCCTCTGGGCCAGGGCCTCCCCACCCAGCAATTCCTTCCCAATCTCCCATCTAACCCTGCCCTCTGGCACTGGGAAGTCATTCCCTGTGCCCTGTCCCTCCAGGCCCTTGTCCAAAGTGGACTCTGATGGACTGGGAGGGGAAATTTGGCTCCTCCGGCCTCAAACCCTTCCCAAATCCCTGAACACTCCCCCCCATTCCCAGCCAGGACTCACCTTCTTCATCTCCTGCACCAGCTGCACCTGGAAGTGGTTCTTGAGCCCGGCCATCTCCTCCTGGAGCTGCTGGATGCGGGGGTCAGCCTTGCTGTTCTCCTCCCGCACGCCCTGCAGCTCCCTCTTGAGCTCCTCCAGCTCCTGGCTCAGCTGCCGCACGTGCTGCTCGTGGCCCTGCGCCCGCTCGGGCGCCCCCGCCCTGCCCGGGGCCACGTCCCGGCCCTGCTCCAGCCGCAGCTCGGCGTCCCGGCGCAGCTCCCGCTCGGCGCGCAGCAGCTCCTGCAGCTCCCGCAGCATCTCGGCGTGGTCGCCCTGCTCCCGCGCCCGCTCGTGCTGCTGCGCGATCAGCCGGGCCTTGGTCTCGGCCAGCTGCTCCCGCAGCCCCCCCAGCTCCTGCGCCAGCCGCTCCGCCTCGGCCCGCGCCCGCCGCGCCGCCTCCTCCAGCTCCTGCCGCACCTGCCGCTTGTCCGCCTGGTACGAGGCCTCCATGCGCGACTTCTCCTGCGTCACCGTGGCCAGGGCGCTCGTCAGGGTGGCCAGCTGGGCCTTCAGCTGCAGGAGCCTCCGCTCGGACTCGCCCGGGTCCCCCTCGGGGCCGGGGGGCTCCTCGGCTCTCTGGGCCGCGGGTCTGTCCTCCTCGGGCCCCGCGTCGGCCCCGGTGGAGCAGCTCACGCTGCTCGCGGCGTCCCCGGCGCTGGTGGTGTCCCCTGTGCTGCTGCTCACACTGGCCCCGCTGGCCCCTGTGTCCCTGCTGGCCCCGCTGGCCCCCGTGTCCCTGCTGGCCCCACTGGCCCCCGTGTCCCTGCTGGCCCCGCTGGCGGCCGTGTCGGCGCTGGCGGCCGTGCCCACGCTGTCCTCGCTGTGCTCGGAGCTCCGGTCATCCAGGGGGTCCCTGGGGCCGGGTGCCGGGAGGTGGCCCTCGTGGGACACGGAGAGCACCTTCAGGCTGGCCTCCAGTGCCTCCTTCTCCTTGAGCAGGCTCTTGTAGGCCAGCACCACGTCCTTGAGCCGCGCCTGGTACCGCAGCAGCTGCTGCTTCTGCTCCTCGATGGTGTCCAGCAGGTCCTTCCTGCTGGGGCCACCCCCAAAGCTCATCCCGAACTTCTCCATGGCCTGGGCGGTCTGCGGGAGGGAACAGGGAAAGGGGAGTGGAAGAAATGTTTGGGATGGACAGGAGAGAGTGGATGGGCTAGAATGGCATCCTGGAACAACTGCCCCCAGGACACCAAAGGAGCAGGAATATCATCCTGAACCACCCCCAGGACCCCCATCTTGACCCCCCCCCAGACACCACTGTGACACCTTCCCCCTCAGGGCCCCCACCCTGACCCCCTCAGGACCACCCCGATGCACTCAGAACCCACATCCTGATCCCCCCACGGACCCACATCCTGACCTCCCTCCGGACCTTCATCCTGGGACTCCCAACCTGACCCTTTCAAGACCACTCTGACCTTCCCCAGGACCCCCGTTCTGACCATCTGTCCCGGGCCACCCTGACCGCCCAAAGACCCCCATTCCGACCCCCCAGTACCCCCATCCCGACCCACCTCCCCAGACTCTCATCCTGAACCCCCCCAGGATACCACCCTGAGCCCCCGACCCTCACCTGGTTTCCCCCCTCAACCTGACTCACTCAGGACCACCCAGACCCGCTCCCCCCAACTCCTCCCGCTTCCCCCAATCCCCCGATCCCTCGGCTGCTCCCAATCCCCCCCGTTCCCCCTCGTCCCCTCAATCCCCCAATCCCCCGTTCCCCTCGTTCCCCCTCGTCCCCTCAATCCCTCCCGTTCCCCCTCACCCCCTCCTGCCGGTGCCGGTGCCGCCGCCGCTTCCGCCGGAACCCGCCGCGTGGGCGGGGCCAGAGGGGTGACGTAATGAGGGAGGCGGGACACGCCTAAATAAGGTGCTGGGGGCGGGGCCACACGTGAAGTGGGCGTGGCTGCGCCCGGGGGGCGAGGCCTGAGCTCACGGGGGCGTGGCCTGTGAGTCAGGGGGCGTGGTCGATATAAGGGGGCGTGGTCTCGGCGCGGGGCAGCGAGGGGGCGTGGCCATATGTTGTGGGCGTGGCCATACGTTGCGGGCGTGGCCGAGGGCTCGGCGTAGTCCCGAGGGGACAGCGTGGCCGTCCAGTGTCCCCAGTGTCCCCTCGTGTCCCCTGTGTCTCTCCGTGCCTCTGTCGTGTTCCCTCCAATTCCCCCCGCTTATCTCCCGTGTCCCTCCTGTTCCCCCCATATCCCTCCATATTCCCCCTTGTCCCCCGTATCCCCCCTGTGCCTCTTCCGATTCCCTCCCGTGTCCCCCCACGTGCCCTGTATCCCCCCCACGTACTCCCCATGTCCCCCCATATCCCCCCGTGTCCTCTCCGTATCCACTCATGTCCCCCGCGTGCCCCTGCCACGTTCTCCCCATATCCCTCTCAGGTCCCCCCCGTATCTCCCCATGTGCTGCTCGTGTCCCACTCATATCGCCCCTTGTCTCCCCCATGTCCCCACACCCACCGTGTGTCCCCCCGTGTGTCCCCGTATCCCCCGTGTGCCCCTCGTGGCACGGAGCAGTGTCCCAGCCTGGGGGCAGGGCGAGGGACGAGCAGCTGTCCCTGTCCTTTGGAGAGTGCCTGTGCCCACCCTGGTGCTGCCCTGGGCCGGCTGTGGGGCTGGCACGGCCCTTCCCACTGCTCTGCCCTTTGGATCTCAGCTGTGGGGCTGGCACAGCCCTTCCCACTGCTCTGCCCTTTGGATCTCGGCTTTATTCATGGGGTGTTTTCCATTCTCCCCAGAGCGGCCTTGGCTGTGAGCGTTTGGAAGTACTTGAATCCCAAGGACAGAGACAGGGAGGATCTTCCTTGTTGTCCTTCCCTAAACTTCGTAGTTCTCTTTCTCTCAGGGAGGCATGAGGGGCTGTGGAACTGCTGTGGAATGCCAAGGGATTAAACACCTCCACTTTGTACCCTGGGCCTGCCTGTCTCTGGCTCCGGAGGCCACTGGAGATCCTGGGACTCCTGTGGGGACCTGAGACCATGGAATGGTTTGGGTGGGAAGGGACCTTAAAGATCATCTCCTGATGTTCCACCCCCTGCCATGGCAGGGACACCTTCCGAGGTTGCTCCAAGCCTCATCCAACCTGGCCTTGGATACTTCCAGGAATCCAGGGCAGCCACAGCTTCTCTGGGCACCCTGGCTCTAAGACTCTACCATGCCCAGCACGTGGAACCGGCCCCTCTGTGACATCAGCCCTGGGCCAGGGGCACTGTGGGTGCTGTGGGCACAACGCTGGAGGTGACCCCTCGCTCCTGGCACTGCCCCGTGCGCTGCCACCGATGGCTTGGCTGTGGCTCCTGGTCCTGCTGGCCCTGGCCGGGCCCGTGGGTGGCACCTGGGACACCTGCGGGTCAGTGGCCCCATTTAGGGGTGTGGGGGGAGCTCGGGAACACTCGGGGGGTTCCCAGCACAGCGGGGGCACAGACGTGCCCTGGGGGGGCCCTGGCCCTGCTGCCCCTCGGGGCACTGTGGGGGGGACAACGGGGGACCTTCATCCTGAGCAGCCCCTGAGCAGGGCAGGGATGGTTTGTGCTTGCAGAGGGACCTGCGGGCTCCGGCCCATGGCTTCCGACCACAACTCCCTGCTGCCCGACTACGGCCCCGCGGCCTTGGCCGACGGCACCTCCCGCGTCGTGGGGGGCTCCGGGGTCCAGCCGGGGGCCTGGCCCGGCATCGCCAGCATCCAGGCCACCTGGCAGAACGGCACGTGGCACATGTGCTCGGGTGTCCTCCTCAGCTCCCAGTGGGTCCTCACAGTTGCCCACTGCTTCTTTGGGGCCGGGTAAGGAGGGGCAGGGACAGGGACGTCCCCACAGCTCGGGCAGGTGCCCAGGTCACAGCACCTCGTGCTGCTCCAGTCCTGGCTCTTCCCTCTCTGCTTCCCTCTCTGCCTTGGGAAGCAGAAGGCTGGAAAGCAGCCACAGCCCGTGGCTCTGCTCCCTCTCACCCCTCTCTCCATCTGTCCCTCAGAGACTTCTACCGGTGGGATGTGGTGATCGGGGCCACGGATCTGACTCAGCCGGGCCCTGAGGCCGAGGTGAGGCACATCCAGAGGCTCCTGGTGCACCAGCACTACGTGGCTGCCACGGCAAGGAATGACATTGCCCTGCTGGAGCTGGATCAGCGTGTGGAATGTAGTGATTACATCCAGCTGGGCTGTGTGCCCGACACCTCACTGAGGGTCTCGGAGCTCAAATCCTGCTACATCGCAGGATGGAGTTTCCCCGTGGACACAAGTGAGTTCCCAAATAGGGTGTGTGCCCTGGGTGAGCTGGGCACCCAGGGAACATGGGCTGGGTACCTGGGAACATTGGCTGGGTACCTGGGAATATGGGCTGGGTACCTGGGGACATGGGCTGGACACAGCCACACTCCAGCTGTGGCTTCAGGACATCAGCAGGGTCAGGGCTTGGAGCAGCCTGGGCTGCGGGAAGGGGTCCCTGACCAGAGCTGGGAGTGGCACTGGATGAGCTTTAAGGTCCCTTCCACCCAAACCATTCTGTGACTCTCTGAAGGCTCTGGGGAGAAGGGCCTGACCCCTTCCCCAGAGCCAACAGCAGGGACACAACGGGACGATGTTGCTTCAGGGGCAAAGACAGTCCAGGGGAAGGGGTTCGCCCCCAGGCAGGGGAGGGGACTGGCACTGAACTGATGGGGGCTCATTCCCTGCCCTGCCAACAGCTTTGGGACCAGATGTGGTGCTGCAGGAGGCCAAGGTCCACCTGATGGACACAGAGCTCTGTAACAGCAGCCGGTGGTACGCGGGGGCCGTGCACCCCGAAAACCTGTGCGCTGGGTACCCGCGGGGCGGCATCGACACCTGCCAGGTGGGAGCGTGGCACCAGCCCCTCAGCCCCGGCAGCACAGGGACCCCCTGCCCCAAACATGGCACGGGCTGGGCCTGGCCTGGCACCCTCCCAGCCCCAGGGCCCCACCCCTGACAGGGCTGTCCTGTCCCATGTCCCCCATCCCAGGGCTGCCCTGTCCCATGTCCCCTATCCCAGGGCTGTCCTGTCCCATGTCCCCTATCCCAGGGCTGTTCTATCCCATGTCCCCCATCCCAGGGCTGTCCTGTCCCATGTCCCCTATCCCAGGGCTGTCCTGTCCCATGTCCCCCATCCCAGGGCTGTCCTGTCCCATGTCCCATATCCCAGGGCTGCCCCATCCATGGGTCCCTGCCCTGTGTACCCCTGTCCCCAAGGCCTGGCTCTGCCCCCAAGGCCCGGCTCTGCCCCCAAAGCCCACCCAGTGCTCCTGGCAGCCCCGAGCTGCAGATGTGACCCTGGATCATTCATCCTCTGCACATCTGGGACCCCTGGGCAGAGATGGGACAGCCCCCAACCCGCTCCCAGCTGAGGCTCTGGAGGCTCCAGCCTTGCTGTGCTGGGAATGCGGCTCTGGCAGGGGCTGGGAGAGAGGAGCCAGCCCTGCTGCTGCAGCAGCCCCCCACAAACCCTGAGCCCTCTCTCCTGCCGCAGGGGGACAGTGGGGGTCCCCTCGTCTGCAAGGACAACAGAGCCGACCACTTCTGGCTGGTGGGGCTGAGCAGCTGGGGAAGAGGCTGTGACAAAGCCAGGCACCCTGGGATCTACACCTCCACTCAGCACTTCCACAACTGGATCCTGGTCCAGACGGGCCTGAGCCCGGCAGAAATAGCCACTCCAGCACCAGAGCCAGGCTGTACCGCGACCCCCGAGGAGATCGCAGTGCCAGAGCCAGACATCGCCCCCACCCCCCAGGAGATCCCGACGCTAGAGCCAGAGCCAGTCATCATCCCAGCCCCAGAGGAGGAGGAGGAGGAGGAGGAGGAGCAGCCGACGCCAGAGCCAGAGCCAACCATCATCTCTACCCCAGAGGAGGAGGAGGAGGAGGAGGAGGAGGAAGAAGAGGAGGAGCAGCCGACACCAGAGCCAGAGCCAACCATCATCTCTACCCCAGAGGAGGAGGACGAGGAGGAGGAGGAAGAAGAGGAGGAGGAGGAAGAGGAGCAGCCGACACCAGAGCCAGAGCCAACCATCATTTCTACCCCAGAGGAGGAGGAGGAGGAGGAGGAAGAGGAAGAGGAGCCGATGCCAGAGCCAGAACCAACCGTCATTTCGACCCCAGAGGAGGAGGAAGAGGAGGAGGAGGAGGAGGAGGAGGAGGAGGAGGTGGAGGTGGAGGAGCCGGTGCCCACACCGCAATCTGACAGGCTTCTGGTCATTTCAGTGCCGTACCAGAGCCTGGTGAAATTCTGTAACCTGCTGAGGGAATTCTTGCAGTTGCTGAGGGACAAAATTGATTGACCAGAAGGATGAGCAGGTCCAGTTCTGGCTGCCGTGGATCAGGACCATTCCCTGATGGAATCACGGCTGCGGGGCCAAAGGCAGCCCCAGTGCCCAGGGCTGCTCTGTCCTCTCCTCCTCTTCCCCTGAGCCCACCCCGATGGTGAAGTTCGGTTTGTTGTCAACATAAAGTTGTTCGTGTTCCCCACTAATCACGTTTTCAGCCCAATTCATTCTCCTGTGCCAGGCAGGGATGGGACAATCTGGGAACCCCGGGGAAAACGAGCCTGTTTGGCCCCTGGTTTGGGAGGAGACGAGGGCGGAGACGAGGAGGAGAGGGAAAAGCGATTTAATAAAGGAGCGGCGCGGCAACAGGAGCAGCTGGAGCGGGGAGTGCTGGAGCCACGAGGGCCGTGGGGGTGCTGGAGGATGCCCACCCTGAGCTGCTGCTGCCCACCCAGGCGTGTCCCCTCTGCACCAAGGTCCTGCCCCTGGGGCTGCCGGGACCCCCATCCCACCCTCCGGCCCAGGGGGGATCTCTGGATCTGGGACATGACCTCTGCTCCTCCTGGATCGTGGCTCCAAGGGGCTGTGGTGGCTCTGGAGAAGATGCTGGAGCCTGGTCCCTCCTGGGACGCCTCAGGGCTCCTTGATTCAGTGATCCACCCCGGTTCGGGGGGTGGTTTGGATCTCCCGGGGGCTGTCCCGGCCGTGGTGGTCCAGCCGTCACCGATTATCCCCCCTCACGGAAATCCCCAGCTCCTGGCGCATGGGGCTGTCTGAGGCCTCCCACCCTGCCAGGGCCCCTCAGAACCAGCCACGCCGCGGGCCGTGGAGGGGGAGAGGGGCTCCGGAGGGCTGGCGAGGGGCGGCGGCAGCGGGGGCTCAGCGGGGTTCTGGGCACCAGGCTGGTACCGGGGGGCAGGGGGGCCCAGGGGGCAGTAGGGCGAACGGGGGGCTCTCCAGGGGCTGCCAGGACGCTGGAGGGGCACTCCCGCCCGGAGCCAAACCTGTGAGAGGGACGCGGGGCTCAGGCACCGCCTTCACCCCCAGCCCCGCTCTGCCCTGGGGCGGGGGACACCCACCCCCAGCAGCCGCCCCTCATCGCCGGGGATCGGGGCCAACGGGGAGAGGGACGGGGTCCTCACACCCTCCAGCACCCCGGGGTCCCGCGCCCCGCCGGCAGCTCCCACCCTGCCCGTGCCCGGGGCTCCCAGCCCCTTTTACCGCAGCAAGCGTCGTCCCAGGCGCAGGGGCCGGAGGTGCAGAGATGCAGCGGGGCCGGGGGGCCCGGGAAGGAGCTGAGGCCGTGGCCGTGGCCGTGGAGGGGCTGCGGGGAGTCCGCGGGGGTGTCCGGGAGGGGCTGCGCGGGGACCAGGAAGGGGGATGTCCCAGAGTATCCGTGGGGATGCTTTGGGACCGGCTCACCCCAAAGGGGACCGGCAGAGGATCATCCTCCGGGGCGGCTCCAGAGAGGGCTCCCCAATGGGACCGTGGGCTCCAGAGCCTGTTGGGGTGCCGGCCAGGTGTCCCCAGCACCCCGCAGGATGGGCCCCCGGCTGTGCCCTACCTGTGCGGCTGTTGTGGAGGTGGGATGGAAAGCGCGCACGGATCCGCGGGGCAGGATCCAGTCGCACCAGGAGCCTGCGTGGGCACAGGTAGGGAAGGAAATGTCCTGTCTCGGGGACCGCGCCGCCCCCAGACCTGATTTTGGGGTGGGGAAGTCTGACTTTTACCGGGGGGGTCACAGAGAGGATCCCTGCCTTTTCCCTAGCTCCCAGCAAGGCTCTGGGGAGCAACCCCAGCAGTCCCAGCGCCAAATTTCAGCCGCGCTCCCTCCCTGGAGGGTCCCTGAACCCCACCCCCTCCTCGGGGGTCCCCTCCCCGCTGCTCCGGGCTGTCACCTGCCCCGCCAGCCTCCAGCTGCTGCTTGGCCTCCCTTCGGCTCTTGGCTCGGCGGTTCGAGAACCAGACCTGGGGAGGGGGCAGGGGGTGAGGCTGCCGCCCCGCTTCCCACGGCACCCGCGCCCCAGGAGCGCTCCAGCTCCTTGGCACAGCTCTGCACCCCGGGACAAGGGCTCGTCACACCCCCAGGGACGGGCATGGACACGGGCAGAGGAAGGGGTTTGATCCTGCGTCTTCCCCAGCTCACTGAGCCGCAAGCACACACAGCGGGCTCTGGGTGTTTCCTCGGCGCAGGACACGGGACACGCGTGTGTGTGCTTTGCCGTGGTGCGGGGAGCCCGTGCGCGGCCATCAGCGGGTAGAGAATGCCGAGCTGGGGACAAACCCAGCTCTCTGGGGTCATTCCCACCACCCTGAGCCCATCCCCACCCCTGCCACCGCCAGCAGTGGTGACACAGTTTGGAGATGTTCCCGAAGCCAGGAGGGATCCCTCTCCCTCCCGAGCTGGCAGCCCCGGGCCCGGCGCTCTGGCCGAGCCGTTCTGTCCCCAGGACGCGGTGGGTCCCCCCTTACCCTGATGGTCGTGTCCGGGAGCTGGGTGGCCGCTGCCAGTCTCTCCCGGGTGACGGTGTCCGGGTACTGTCCCAGCTGGAACTCTGCCAGGGGGATTGGGGGAGACATGAACCCGTTTGGGGCAACACCCTCTGGCACCTCGGCAGGAGATGCCAGATGTGCGGCTGCAGCCAGATCCCAGTGTTTCCACATTTTGGGATGGTTCAGGGCACGGCAGCGATGGTCGTGCCCTCACAGGGACACGAGCCCATCCAGAAACTGGCAACGCCTTCCCTCGGGAATTGCGCTGCTCCATTCCGGCGCGGAGCCGGCATCCCGTGGGAAACGCACCTTTCTCCAGCGCCTCCGACTGCTGCCGGGAGAACACGGTCCTGCTCCTGTGCCGGGGGCCTGGTGGGAGGCTCTGGCCGGATTCGGAGCCCTGCGAAGGGTGCTGAGCCCCCGGGGGGGAGGCGGTGCCGGCTGCGGGGGGTGAGTGGCAACAGCGGGACTGCGGGACGGCCAGAGGGGTCACTGAGGGAACACAAAGGCAGAAGGTGGGGGGGGGGACCGACCCTGGGGGCTCCCTGGAGGGGCTGGGAAGGGTCAGGGCTGGTCCCGAGCCCCCCTGCTTTGGGGGCGCCCCATCGAGGCTCACCCCGAGGCCGCGGGTCCCGGGGCTCGGCCACCAGCCGCAGGTCACTGTGCAGGTTCCTCAGCACCCGGTTGATGGAGGAGACCTGGACAGGGGGAGAGGATGTACCCGGGCAGGGGGGCAAGGACCCCCGAGGGGTGGGAGCAGGTGGGAGCACTGTCGAGCAGGGACACTTGTCACAGGGCCACCACGGTGTCCTGATGCCCGAGGTGGCAGCCGGGCTTGCGGAGTGGCGGTCGGGGCTCTGCTTTAACTGGGAACGAATTAATTTACCTTCCCCTCCCTGCGTGCTCCGCGTGACCCAGCACCGAGCCCTTTCCCACGTTATTCTTCCCATTCCTGAGTCCTTCCCACTGCTCCGAGCTCTTCCCTTCTCCCGAGCCCTTCCCTGTGCCTCCCTCCCACTGCCCTGAGCCCTTCCCATGGCTCTGAGCCCTTCCCTGCTCACCCTTTCCACTGCCCCTGCACGTCCTTCCCCTTCTCAATCCCTTCCCATCACCCAGATCCCTTCCCGGGGCGTCCTTCCCACGGGCCTGAGACCTTCCCTGTGCATCCTTCTCACATCCCCCCTCGCCTCCAGCCCCCAGCCGTGGGGTCGGACCCCCCCGCCCCGGCCGTGTGTGACCCAGTGCCCCCGCAGCCCCCGCAGGACTCACGCTGGGGGTGCCGAAGCCGCTGCAGGTCCCCTCGCGGTGCAGCTGCCGGCGGATCTCCCAGGCGAAAAGCCCGGGCCGCTCCAGCTTCAGCCGCGCGATCCTGGCCACCACCTCGGGGGTGGCCATGCGGGGCTTGCTGCCCCCCGCGACCTTGGGCCCCACGGCCCCCGTGCGGTAGTAGCGGCCCAGGATCTTGCTGACGCAGCCGTTGGACACCTGCGGATGGGGTGGGAAAGCTCAGCGGGATTTGGGGGAGAAGGAGAACACCGCGCCCTTCCCCACCCCACCCCCCGATCAGACGCACCTTGAGGCTGCGGGAGATGTCGGAGGAGCGGAGCCCGCTCGCCGCCAGCTCGATGATCCTCTGCCTCTTGCAGGTGGGGAGGGGGCGGCCGTTCAGGAAGAGCCCCCCCAGCTGGTTCACGCCGCTGGGCCCTGGGGAGGAGGGGGACAGGGCTGGGTGGGAGGGGGAGCTGCCTGTCCTTCCCTCCCCGGCTTCCCAGGAGAGCCTCAGGGACGGGACCGGGAGCAGTGGCTTTGGGAGCCAGTGGAGGGGTTTAGAGGGGGTGGACAGCAGGAGTTGGGGCTTGGAGGGACCTGGGATTGTTTGCTGGGTGGTGGGTGCAGGCAGCGCTCGGCAGGAGCAGGCAGGGAACGGGAGAACCAGCTCAGGTGGTGCCAGCAAGAAAATACCCCATGGAAGAGCGCCGGGAGGGTTTGGGGAGGGCAGAGGCAAAGGGGTTGACTGACTGGGGTGGGCTGGACCGCATCGGGGGGCCGGGAGGACTCTGTGGAGCCACAGGTAAATCAGATGAAGGCTGGATACATTTGTCAGGGCACATCCCAGATTCCCCCAGGGCCGGGAATGCCAGGACCCCGCACCCGGAGCCGCCCCGGAGCAGCCGCGTCCCTCACCTCGGTGTTGCATCGTGGTGAGGCTTCAGGGGCTGTGGGTGCCTGGGAATCGCCAAGAGGACAGGGCGGCTGCCGAGAGATAAATCAGTGCCGGTGTCCAGGGCTCGGCCACGTTCCCTCTGTGAGAAGTTGGGGGGCAGGACAGGAGTAGGGAGCAGAGGATGGAAACGCGTGAGGGCGCCTTGGGAAGCCATTGCGCTCCGGGCACAGCGGCTCAAAGAGCTCACAGTGCTCTGGAGAGGCTGGGGAGACGCTGGGAATGCTGTCTGCGCCAACTACGGAACGGAGCCCGAGTAGCTGAGCCGTTCCCGGAGCCTGCAGCACTCCCTTGGACTCCC